GGCGAGTTATTTCTCCTCGCTGGCGTTCTCCTTTTCGCAGCCCGGGAGAGCCGAACGCTGCCGCGCCCTGTCCCTCGGCTCGTCTTCTCTTCCTGCTTGGGCCGGGCAGATGTTCCAGGCCTCCGGCATCCCGGAGCCTCTCTGAGGTGTGCAGTGCAAGATCCCCCGTTAGGCTCGGGGAAAGCAGCACCGTTCACAGCGCCCGGCGGGCAAAGGATTCCTCTCTTCTTAGCCGCCTTCCCCTTGAGGCCAGGCCCTGGCACCAGCCTCCTTAGAAGAGCAAACTGGGGCACCGGGACGGTGGCTGGGAAAAATAACCGTGGTGGGTAGCAACAGGGGACACAGCCATGGAGCGATGGATTCCAGCCCCCGTGCTCAGCTGCTGTGATATCCTGAGCATCACGGGGCATTAGCCCCTTCTCGGCCGCTCGGCCTCGAGTCCCCAGACCCGCGGGAAACCCAGCTGGTGTGCGCCGCAGGCAGAGGGCAGGAGGGACCGGGGAGCCTGGTAGGAGATTGATTTGCCCGGCCGGGCAGCAGCAGGCGGAGTCTCGGGGAAGGACCCTGGTGAACCGCACCGAGCTGCCTCGGCTTCGGCACGGGCCTCTCTGAGCCGGCAGACTCCTGGCCCCAGTCCGACCCTCCACCTCTCCCAGCAGGCAGGCCTCTGTCTGCTCCCCCCTACCCTGGGGCGGTCAGTGTCGCAGTAGCGAGAGGGCCTCCCCATCTGAATGAATTCCGCCGGGCAATCGGCTGCTAGCGCCGGCCTCGCTCCGCCCGGCGTGGTGCGTGCTGCAAGGGCAGGTAGTGCGCTGCTCTCGCCCCGGCCGAGCTGAGCTCGGCGCTCGACTGCCGGGCGGGTTGGCGCCAGTGGAAGGTCTTAGCTGGATGCTCTGGGCAGGACAGGCAGCGCAGCCGCGGGGATCAAAGAACGGTGGCGGGGGAGCGCGTGGAACGCGGACCCGGACGGATGGAAGACCTCGACCCATCAGCAACGAGGAGGGAGAGTTGTGGGCAGAGTGGTGGCGTTCCACCGCGCTGGCCTGTTCATAGCGCTCGGCGCCAACTAATGCCTGCTCTCTCGCTGCCTGGGAGGTTGTGGAATCGCCATTACCCAGCATGCAGTGGCGGGGAAACTGAGGCACGGGGCGGCGCGATGACTGGGAGTAGCCCCCACGAGGCCCACATTGTCTCACACGGCTAGATTAATATCCTCCCTCCAGGGTTAAAAAACGGCAGCGGCTCAGAAAGAGCCTGGGGCCAGCTGCTTCCTGTTTTGAAGGTCGGCTGTTGATATCTCGGCAAAAGATTTCGCTCTGTATTTACTTAGTTTAAACAGTGTGTACGGGGCAGGAAACTCCTGCCCGAGGGCGGCCTGAGCGGGGCAGCACGAGCGGAAGCGATATCTTCGCTTGGCCTGACGCGAAGTCCGAGTCACACGCCCGAACGGCAGAGGGGAAGAGGGGTTTAAAATCCCCCGGCCTCGCCGCAACATCGGCGTGGGCGCCCCCACGTCAAGCGCCCGAGGGACGGAAGCCCGGGGCATGTTTGGCAAGAGCCGGGTGTTCTCTTTGGGCCCTGGACACCTCTCCGTGCCTGGCACGTTGTGGTTTGCCCCCGCTGGCTTGCCTGGGTCTGTTTCCACGCTACCCGCTGGCACCGAGGACCCTGCTTTCCCCCGGAGCCCTCCCGGCTCTCCTCTGCCCTCACTGCCGAAGAACCCAGAGTCTCCAGCCCCCAAGGTAGCTAGAGAGACATTCCTGCCAGGGCACTGCCTGAACCCCCCCTCCTACTGACATCAGGCCATCTCACGCCCCCGGGCCTTCCAAGAGGGATTGACGGCTCAAGGCACGGGCCAGCCTGC